GCCGGCTCGTCTGTGTAAACCCCGGGGGTAGTGTCATGTTTATGTGTGGTATGGTTGGGTAGGGTAGTGCGGCTATGCAGCCTGGGACACTACAACACTACACCTCACTCCTGGCATTTTTACGTGGTAAATTAATGGTTTATATTAAACACTACACCATCAACTATTATCAATAACTAACTAATTACTGCAAAATACCCAAACAATTATGAAAGATTTACTTAAATAATTGGAAAAATGCAAAATTACTAATGATAACTTCATTAGTGAGAATCACAAACATGAATCCTAGAGGTTAGAAATCTTGTGACGCAGTTTGAAATAAGCAACGCCTATAATTTCTGTCTATTACTCGACCGTCTTTTTTACGGACCGTGCGCAATGGCAGCATTGGCAGTTGGCACTAATGGCAACGGCAGCGCATCTAGTTGTTTATGGGTTATAGTTAGCTATAGAGATGGGCAAAACATGACGATCCGGCTCGCCGCACTGACACGAGAGACCGGAGTGACCCATTTCCTTCGTTCTTTCATAGAGTCACTCCACACGTCGGCCGTTCCATGGCTAGTACCATAGCATAGGTTGTGTGAATACGCCTATCTATATATTTTTTTTATTAATGTGACCGAATTGTGGAAATAAGGTCTGTTTATTTATATTTTCAATTAAAATTAGGTCAACTTTATTATTTTTGTCACTTTTCATTTTGACTAGGAACTGTCGCAAGAATGTAAATAAGCAGACCTTATTTCCTCTATTCGGTCACATAAATAAAAAAAATATATGTATAGGCGTATTCACACGACCCATGGCATGGCACGCGTACCATGGGACAGCTGTCGTGTGTAATGACTACGAGGAACCGGATCAGCAAAATGAGCCGGATTTGTTAGATACAATTTAAACGTCTATACGGGGTGATTCAGGCATAATGTCATTAATTTTAACGGCGTATTCGGAAAAACTCGTATTCAACATGGTGAAAACGTTAATAATGTTAAAAATACAAAATTGTAATAACGTAACATTAGAAAACAATTATTATCCTTATACATTTGTTTTTATTAACAAATAAATACTTGGAAATATTTAAAATGTAAAAAAGTATCTTATTGATTCACGTGTCTAGATAAAAACATGTTTATTCGTTGTAGTTCACTACGGATTAAAAACGCATTAAAAGCTAGGTTATTTACCGAATATTGTGGTAGGTCAAGATTCACTGTCTATAAACCTTTGTGGGTAATTGGTCAAGAGCAGTTCGAAAAGGGGTTTAAATAATTATTTGAAAGTGTTATTTTCAGCATAAATATGCATTTTAAAATGTTTTCATATTCTACTTATTTTTTCTCGTCTTTCCTTGTAATTAATGACATTATGACTGAATCACCCTTTAACTCTCAATGTGTAAATACCACAGCAGCACTCAACAGTATAAAAAAAAAATAATGCACATCTATTTTGCTTTAGCTCTTTTACTCCTAATATTGTTGCAAAAAAAACTATTAATTATACAAGTTGTTACAAATTCGCTTCCCACTACATTTATTTATTTCGAAAATTAATCTTGTTAGCCTTGATTTTTTAGAGGCATAATGTTGGTCCCCTGATTACGCAACTTGCCCCCATTTAAGCTAGATTGTATCTGTTATCGTCTCCAAGATCCCTAGTGAGAAGCAAATTCGTAACACCCTGTATATTCTACAAAGTAAATTGTATCATTATTTGAAACACATATTGATGTACACGATTCGGATTCACTCTGAATATTGATAATAAAATAGAATATATTTTTAGACATGGACAAATCAGGCCGATATTACAATGTATATATACAGGGTGTCTCATGGTGACGGCCCATTAGAATTATTTCAGAGACTACTTCGATTTGAATTTTGGAAATTTGGTATTCCGGGTTTTTGGGCATGCCCTTCTCAACTGAAATAATGGTGTCCACGTATCACTTCCGCTTATACCGGAAGTCGCCATCAACTTGCTTATTTTAAATGGAACACCCTATATATTATTGCAATTTTGGATTCTACGTGTTATTTTAGGTGGACTTTTATGAAGTTTCCCTATTCCTGAAATTAACCGTTTTCGAGATATTTATTTTTTTCCAAAAAAATGGAGAGAAACAGTAACTAGCTTCAGATCATGTGTATTTTAAAGCAAGAAAGATAAAGCAACAATATTTATAGGAGGGATAGCTACACCCCTAAGCATCCCATCCATACTTTCAAAGAGGCTTAATTGCATACAGGGTGCTAGAAATTTAATGCCGAGTTTAGTTAATTTCAAACCTTCATAAGTCGTTTTTTTTAAATGAAACACTCTGTATGTTTTTCTATATTGTGATACACAATTTTATCCTCTTTCGAACGGTATCAGGGTTCCCTATACTTATCTCTTCTAGTTTTTAAGTTATCTACTATTTTTTGTGTAATCACCTAAAATCATGTAATTTCTTGCGAGGCTAGCTGTGTAATTTTTAGCAAAACTTCAAATCAAACAACTGTTAAACTGTCACCAGTTATTTATTAGTCTCGCAAGAAATTACATGATTTTAGGTGATTACACAAAAAATAGTAGATAACTTAAAAACTAGAAGAGATAGGTATAGGGAACCCGGATACAGTTCGAAAGAGAATAAAGTTGTGTATCAGAATATAGAAAAACATACCATTTAAAATAAGCAAGTTGATGGCGACTTCTGGTATAACCGGAAGTGGTACGTGGATGCCATTATTTTAGTTGAGAAGGGCATGCCCGAAAACCTGAATTTTCAAAATTCAAATCGAAGTAGTCTCTGAAATAATTCTAATGGGCCATCACCGTGAGACACCCTGTATTAATAAACGTGGTTACAGAAGCGCACGAAAACTTGTTGATGTTTACATTTTGCTTCAATTCAAATATTTATTAGTCAGTCTCTAAAATGCCCTAATTTCTGTCTGTACTTCATTTGTGCATGAATTGATGCTTCCTCAAAAACTTCTTTGCACTAGTGAAGGCTTTCTATACTTCAACACGTGATATTTTATACCACTCCTGTATTTGGACTCACAATCGCAGTCATTACACTAGTACCTTTAGAACTTGTGCAGCATATTCGTTTCAGTTGATGCCGCTGCAGATGATGCTTGTATTTACTTTCAAAGGGGCAGTTGTTACACTTGTATGTCTGGACCTGAGAAGGATTTTTATGCTTTAGTTGGTGCTGTATGAAATTACCGTTGTATTTAGTTTCGTAATCGCAGTCGCTACACCTGTACATTTGAACCTGCAATGTATCTCTATGTTTCAGTTGATGCGTTTTTAAACAACTCTTGAATTTCGTTTCATAATCGCAATTGTGACACCTGTACATTTGAACCTGTGAAGGATCTTTATGCTTCAGTTGGTGCTGTTTGATATAACTCTTATATTTGGTTTCGTAATCGCAGTTTCTACACCTGTACATTTGAACCTGCAATGTATCTCTATGTTTCAGTTGATGCGTTTTTAAATAACTCTTGAATTTCGTTTCATAATCGCAATTGTGACACCTGTACATTTGAACCTGTGAAGGATCTTTATGCTTCAGTTGGTGCTGTTTGATATAACTCTTATATTTGGTTTCGTAATCGCAGTTTCTACACCTGTACATTTGAACCTGCAATGTATCTCTATGTTTCAGTTGATGCGTTTTTAAATAACTCTTGAATTTCGTTTCATAATAGCAATTGTGACACCTGTACATTTGAACCAGTGAAGGATCTTTATGTTTCAGTTGATGCTGTTTGAAATTACTGTTGTATTTAGTTTCATAATCGCAATTGTTACACCTGTACATCAGAACCTGCGAAGGATCTTTGTGTTTCAGTTGATGCTGTTTGAAACTACAGTTGTATTTAGTTTCGAAATCGCAGTCGTTACACTTGTACATTTGAACCTGCGGAGGATCTCTATGTTTCAATTGGTGCTTTTTGACAACACTCTTGTATTTAGTTTCATAATCGCAATCGTGACACCTGTACATTTGAATCCGTGAAGGATCTTTATGTTTCAGTTTATGCTGTTTGAAATTACCGTTGTATTTAGTTTCGAAATCGCAATTGTTACACCTGTACATCTGAACATGTGAAGGATCTTTATGTTTCAGTTGATGCTGTTTGAAATGACTGTTGAACCTTGCTTCATAATCGCAATCGTTACATATTGATGCTTTTCGAGATAGCTCCTGTATTTTGTTTCGAAATCGCAGTCATTACATCTGTACATCTGAACCTGGGAAGGATCTTTATGTTTCAGTAGTTGATGCCTTTTGATATATTCTTTGTATTTAGTTTCGAAATCGCAGTCGTTACATCTGTACATTTGAATCTGCAAAGAACCTTTATGTTTCAATGGGTGCTTCAGAAGTAATTTCTTATTTTCAGTTTCGTACTCACACGATTCACATTCATATGCTTCCAAATCCTTCTCATGTCTCGCACAGTGTGCCGTAAAACGGATCTCACTTCCAGTTTTGTACAAACATTTTTCACATTTGTACAATAATTTACGCTCCTGTCTGGTTTTCACTTCTGATCCATCCTCATGTTTAAATCCATCCTCTTCTTTATTTTTACAGTCACTCTCCTCGAATGGTACAATATCGGAGGTCTGAAGTGGCGTGTCGCTGAAAAAATTGCATATACAGAGTAGTTTTCAAAATCAGGTATTAATTTTAAGAGGTTATGACCATAATTGAATCAACCATAGTACTGATAGCACAATTTTAATTTTAATGATGAATCGATTCAGATCTTTGACAATGTATTTAATTATCAGAGAAGGCATTGGCGAGATGCTACGTATAAAGTCGCACAATAAATCCATAAACAAAGTCAGATACAGATAATTGAAATCCCATCTACAATAGCATTATTTATAAATTTATTAAATTTTAATCAAATAATAACACCCAGTATATCACCTTTTTGTTTGTCAACGTTATTTAGTTTTGGTTTTTTACCTTATCACAAATTTTAAAACACTAGTCACAGAAATTAAAGGATAAAAAGAAAATCCTAAATTTTTAGGTGATTTTCAAAAGGCTGTAACATGGCGAAAAATGTTCGTAACGCAATAAAAATAAGCAAATTGGAGCTTGAAAGTTCTAGTTTCAGGATCTGAAAGACAAAAATTTTTATCCTTTATCACCTTTTAGAAATCAAAAGAAATCCGGGATTTTTTTTTTTATAATTTTTGTCTCACTTTCAACAGGTCCATGCGTCTTAATATTTTTTTTTGGCAGTTCCACATGTCATCTCTTTTAGTTTAATTCGTCCTCTTTGATTTGAGCTGTTCGAGACCTTTATATGTACAATCAAATCAAAAATAACTGTCTTGGCTTTGATAATTAATTATTTGGGAAGTAATGGCGATACAAAAAATCTAAGCAGTTTTGAAAATTTCTACTATCCTCCGCAAGACGTTCTTATCGTTTTTTGATAAATTTATATTTTTCGATGCAAGAAACATGATTCCAAAATTGCGTATTTGAGGATGTTTGTTAAACCTGAGATTGATACGGAAAATAAAATAACAGAATTAAATCAGAAGTGCACTTATTTAGAAAATGCAGTCCAGGATTTACAAGTTCTTAATAATAAGTTATGCAATAGTGGACTTTCTCGATCAACAAGCAAGAAATTCTGGGATTTGTATAATATATGGAACTCCTATTAATAAGTCAGGAAGTCAAAAAGAAGATCTGTTGAATACAGTAACTGGAAAAGTTAACAAATTCCCAGACGTACACTATACTGCAGTTTGTGTTCAAAAAATCTGTAGAACTGGGGAAAATATAACTAATAGGAATGCAACACCAATATATGTGAAATTTTCCTCTGATTATTACAGCGCAGCTATCTTAAGGAACATAAAAGTTCTGAGAAACTCGAAAATTTTTGTCTCTGGTGACCTCACCAAAACTAGATTTGAGCTTTTAATTTCTGCTAAAGAAAAAGTTGGAAAAAATAATGTGTGGAGTCTTCAAGGTAAAATCTACGTGAAGAGGAATGACAATATTCGTGTTATTTATACCAGACAAGACTTAGATAATCTGTTGGAATAATGGTGGGCCGCTCAATAGCGTCATTCGTTTGATCATTTTGTTTTCTCGCAACCTTTTCTTTGCATTTGTTTTTTAGTTAAGTAAGTATATTCTTAATATTATATAACTATCACTCTTTTATTTTATTATATACATTTTTGTACCAGTTGTACCCATATAGGTACATATATTTATTTTCTTGGGAATAGGGTTCTAGTCTGATTGGCCATTAAAAAATGGAGCAAGAAAACACCAGAGTACTTTTTGCTCTTAACGTGTCGTTCCCGATCGGGAACTTTATCAGAAGGATTTGAATTTTCAGAACCTAAAAATATACAAATACATAATATTAAAAAAAAATTTTAAACTTGCAATTACATTACTATTAAAAATTAATTATGTTTGTACGTACCTAAACAATCATTCCTATAAATTTTTAAAAAATTTAGTCCTTAAAAATATAGTGGAGAATTTATTATATTGTTTATCTTTTTTTCCCTTCTTTAAAGTTAACTTCAAATTTGCATTTTAATTGGAACTTTGTTATAAATAATATTAATTTTGAATTATTCAATGCTGATGTGTGGATACGATGATATTGAAATAAGAAACGAAGCGGGATAATTTGAGCAAGTTGTACGACTGGTGGCAAATATTTGTAAAAATGAAAAATCATAGACATCTAGGAGATTTATTGGAGACCAAATTTTATGTTTTCTGTACTATTTTATTTCTTTATCCCCATTCCTAAAAATCAGTTTATGTAATTCTTTAATATTTTCAAAGCTCTCATACTCTCTTTATGTTTACATCATAAAAATGCACTGTATACTTAGGTAAAAAAATGTACGAGGCTTCATAAAGCCACTTCGATGTTTAATCTTCGTTATTCGCGTTTATTAGAAATTCCTCGCCACACCACTGCCCTGAACACTAGAAGTTTTATCTATCGCGCCTGTAAAGAATATAATGCTTTGCCCGTTTGTTTTAAGTCATATTTATTTTGAACTTTTTCATTGTGAAAAATCGATTAAAAGATAAATATTGTATTTTTAAATCATTTTCTTTAATTGCAATTGTTTCTTTGCAAAAACTATTTTTCTTCATCAAAAATTGTCATGAATAAAAAAAGAAAAAAGTTGAAATTTAAATTCTTTTTTGGAAAAAAAAAACGTTTATTTCCTTCCTCAAATCTCGGATACCTACTTACCGAGTTCTATAGCTCACAAATCGTTTTCATGAGCTTTAATACTGATAAAAATAAGATTTTTTTAAAATTAACCCAAAGATCTTTTCTGTATATTAAAGAAAATAATAATAAATATTTTTTGACGATTTGACAAGCATTTTTTCAAAAGATATTTTTATTATTTGAATTAGATCAATATCTTCTCCCAAAATTCTTTCAAAATTAATTTTGGGTAAGAATGACTGAAGGTCAAATTGACTTTCTTCTTGCAATCTGCTTACATAACCACTAACTATTTTGTAACTCAGTAAAAGATCTATCCCTTTCGTTCAATAAAATTTCAATTTTTGTCCAGTTAAAAAATTGATTGAATTAATGGAATTTATTGTAGTATTCTTTGTACCCATATCTGACTCGAAGCCATTCTGATTGTTTTATAACGATCTTACATATTTTCCCAATAATTTGTTAACCTAAGCTTAACGTTTATATAAAAATTTTTACAATATCATTCATAACCGACATAATCTCATAATGTTAAGTACAATTAGTTTATTACCGGATAGTATGTACATGTGATCATATAAATCACAGTGTCACAACCGCAGGTCGCCATTTTTTAAATTAATGTTACAATAGTCTTCTCTTACCTTCTTTCCTCATCTTCCGATTTTATGTCGACAGATTCAGCTTTGATCGACATTTCCATCTCGTTAATATCGAATTCCTTGTCCAGGTTTTCACTCTTAACGAACGAATCGAGTGGAGACGTATCTATTTGACTTCTTCTGGCCGAACTATCAAAAATCCTTATAATTTTTTCTTCTACCTCTGAGCAATCTTTTATGAAACTGTTGTGAATACACAGAGAATCAAAGCATGGCTTACAAACAACGGGATCTTTGATGATATTTATATTCTACAAAGCAGTTTAGTTAAATTATAAAATATGCAAGTAATTAATATCGTTCCTACCATTTCAGGTGTCAATTTGTCAATAGCTTCAAGTTCCTCTTCACGTATGCACCTAAACTCACTTTCTACTGGGTGCATGCACAATCGACATATTTTCTGACTGCAAACTAACTCACTTTTCTTTTCCTGCCTGTACACTTCTCCTAAGTCGAGCTGTAGCATTTTTTCGCTATCCACATAAGGAATAATTGTGTTATCGGTATTCAAACATGTCGACTTAAATTCTAATGCTGTATTTAACTTTCTTCTGCAAACGTTACATATAACCTCTTTGCTCTCAGCATCAAATTTCTGAAAAATATGCAACTTCAGACAGCAATCTAATTATATTTCACTAACTTACCAATTTCAGCAAAAGAACGTCTAGAATGTCTCTAATAATGTTGTTTATCACTTCAAAACTTTCATCGGTTATATTTTTAAGGCAAAGCCTACACGACGTTTTCATAACATCAGTCATTGTTCTACAACAATCTTCTTTTAAATATAAACAGAAAATAGAACGCAGAGACAAAAATACAAAGCCACTCGTCAGTAGTCACTTCTTTCTAACCTTCTTGCTTCTTATATGACAGCATTGGCAGTTGGCACTATTGACATTGACAAGGCATCTAGTTGTGGGTTGCGGTTAGGAATAGAGATGGGCGAAACATGACGATCTGGCTCTCCATACTGACACGAGAGACCGAAGTGACCCAGCTCCTTCGTTCCTTTCAGTTTTTCTCAGTCATTCCACACGACGACAGATGTTCTATGGCCGGCATGGCTCATACCAACATACATACATATACAAAGCATTTTGAAAAGGAATTGAAGCCAAAAAGTGGGGGTGTTGCACTTTGTGTATTATACGCACGCGCTGTGATTCATTTTCCCATTGGTCGGTTAACGTCATTGTCATTTTCGAAAGTAGGTTATGTTCACTATTATGAACAGAAAGACAACAAAAAAAAAAAGGAAAGGAAACGAGGCAGACCCATAAAAAACATAGGATCAAGGACCAAGTAGTGGCAGAAGACTTAAAGAAAAGAGGAACAAACTGGCATGAAGTGATGAATCTAGCAAATAATGTTTTATTGATCGAGGATTTTTATTAATTAAGGGTAATGTATTGATGAAATTGGCTAAAGCAAATTTTTACGTGTCCAATCAGTAGCTAGAAATTCCACATTTTGCTAATGTACGAGACTTCGTGTTTCATGGTGAACTCTTACTGTTATATGTTAAAAGGAGACGAGTAGTTTCCCTTTATATATTTTTTGTAAATGTCACAAGAAATTATTTTTATAACCTGTGAAGTTACAAAACCCGCTATATATGATACCACATATTCTACATACAGCGAAAGATCAAACATGGTTTTTACGTGATCATGTTCAAATAAAGAAACGACACTTAATGTACCTACTTGTGTTTGGATCACAAACTGGATCAGCTATTTTATTTGAAAAATAATACCTAGGGACAATTTATATCTAAAACCGGCACTGCTTCAATGATGTTCTAAGATCTTGACTAGGTTTGCATTGTATATTTAATAAAATAAGACTTGATGTTTAGCATATATTAGAAAATCAAATTGAATCTGGTACAGTGAATCACGAAACACTTAGGTTAATATGATTAATATGATTTATTTTTATTATTATTTATTTATGTGTTAGTTAAGGTAGATAACTTGTTATTATTTTTTATATATATTTGTACATAATGTATATTTTTATATGAATTTTTGTGAAGATGTATCGATTTTAAATTTCAAAAAATGTTTACTATTTTATATAAATAACACACTTGTACTCTCTTTTGGATTCCGTTTTATTGTACCCATTTTATTTTACATTCACTATCTAACATTCTCATAAATTACAATTAACAAGTTGTATAATTAGATATACAAAATAATAATTGGTAAATTTGCTATGTTAATAAGTACATCAGTTATTAAATTTCATTTGAAATAATCCGCTAAATTTTCGGGCTTGTGCAAAATTGACAAAGTGCAACACGTACACTTTTTATCCCCTCTTTTTGGGAACACGGTCATTCAATGTAAAAGATATGCAGTGCTCGGTATATGTATAGAAGTATGTGCTCGTACCATAGCACAGGTCGTGTGAATACGCATATCTATATTTTTTTATTAATGTGACCGGATAGTGAAAATAAGGTGTTTATTTATATTTTCAATTATAATTAGGTCAACTTTATTATTTTTGTCACTCTCCATTTTGTTTTATAAACCGTTATTTTATATCAAATGCGTGAAAATTTTCAATAAACGCACGAAATCAATTTTAAAAATCTTGTTAATCACTGGGAACTGGCGCAAGAATGTAAATAAGCAGACCTTATTTCCACTATTCAGTCACATGAATAAAAAAATATATAGATAGGCGTATGGGTATGTATGCCCATGAGCCGGATTTCTTAGTTACAATTTAAACTTTTATACATCTATTTCGTGCAGAGATATAGACAGATATATCTCTGATTTCGTGGGTCCGTTAAATGAATATTATTCAGCGAGATATACAGTACGTCCACTCGATTGGTACACGAGTCGCAGTGTAGTAAGAAGGGAAGGAATAGTTACGACAAATTCGGCTCCCTAGGAGGAATCGTATCAGCAAAATGAGCCGGATTTCTTAGTTAAAATTTCAACGTCTATACAGGGTGATTCAGGCATAATGTCATTAATTTTAACCACGTATTCGGAAAAACTCGTATTCAACATAGTGAAAATGTTAACAATATTAAAAATACTAAATTGTAATAACGTAACATTCGAAAACAATTATTATCCTTTGTTTTTATTAACAAATAAATACTTGGTAATATTCAAAATGTAAAAAAGTCTCTTATTCATTCACGCATCTGTATAAAAAGATCTTATTTATTCGTTGTAGTTCATTACGGATTAAAAACGCATTAAAAGCTAGATTAATGACCGAATAAGACAAGATTTACTCTCGATAAACCTTTGTGGGTCAGCGGTCAGGAGTCATTCCAAATGGGATTTAAATAATTATTTGAAAGTATTTTCTTCAGTATAAATAAGCATTTTTTAACTGTGTTCTCATATTCTACTTATTTTTTCCCATCCTTAGAATTAATGACATTATGACCGAATCGCCCTGTATGAGTTTAACGCTCGACATGTAAATACCACAGAAAAAAAAAATAATGCACATATATTTTGCTTTAGTTCTTTTATTCATAATATTGTTGCAAAAAAAAAACTATTAATTATACAGGATGTTATAAATTCGCTTCCCACTACAGGGATCTCGGATACAGTAACAGATACAAACCAGCTTAAATGGGGCAAAGTTACGTAATCAGGGGACCAATAATATGCCTTTAAAAAATCGAGGCTAACATGATAGTTTTCGCAATATTTGAATAAAACCGAAATTTGGAATTATGATTTTGTTCCATTTCAGCCCCGTTTGAGGTGATATTGAAAAAGGAAGGAAACATTCTCGAGGCAACTTTTGCCATCTATCGAATGGTATAATTAATTTTTATATGTAACGTTTTGTCTTTCAAGGACCATCGTCCATTTCATTCTTTAATTGAAGGAAATAATAATAATAATAATAATCTTTAATTCGTAAAAACATTAACATTTACAATGACAATGTAAGAGCGAAATGGTGTCACAACAGTTTCCCTAAGTTAATTTAAACAGTGTTCCAAATATTCATTTACATTGTAGGGCTCAATATTTAACAAAATTTGTTTAATATGTTTTTTGAATAAATTTACACTCTGTATCTGTTTAAGTGACGCTGGTAAACAATTGAATAATTTAATACACATGTAATGTGCATTCTTTTCTGTTAGAGTTACTCTGCGATATGGGTACATTAGATTTAAATTTCTTGTATTATACTGAGATGATGAGTCTGTCATAAAATTATTCCAGTTTTTCCTTACATACGTTAAGCATTCAAAAATATACAGAGCCGATATAGTCATTATTTTGCTATTCCTAAATACCTATCTACAAGATTGGATGTAAGACATATTATTGACAATTCTTATAATTCTTTTTTGAATGACAAAAATTTTCTGTATGTCAGCGCTATTACCCCAAAACATAATTCCATATTTACAAATAGATTCGAAACTACCAAAGTAAGTGATTTTTGTAGATGTACTATTTACATATTTACTAATTACCCTGATTCCATATATTACTTTACTTAATTTAACAGCGAGTTCATCTATATGTTTTTTCCAATTTAAGTGTTCACCTAGATGCAATCCTAGAAATTTTGTACTACTTGCCAATTCTGCCATCTGACTGTCCAGTATGATATTGTTAGGTCTGTTTATTCGCCAGTAACTTGATGAAAAAAGTACTAGTTGAGTTTTATCATTATTCACGATGAGACCATTCTTTGAAAGCCAGCCCTTTGTTAATTGTAAAAGTACCTCACTTTGTGTTATGATTTCTGGCATGGCGTCTGCCCCTACCAGTAAATTTGTGTCGTCCACATAATTAATAATTTTCTGATTTGAATTTGTGGGTACTTTTGCTATATCATTTAGATATATAATAAACAATAGTGGACCTATGATACTCCCCTGCGGGATTCCTATATTGATCTTCAATTTTTCAGAGCTAAACACGCCACCGTTATGATTTATGCATACTTTTTGCTCTCGGTTTGATAAATAGGAGACTATCCATTTCAGAGCCGGACCTCTAATGCCGTATCTTTCCAATTTTACTATGAGAAGGTCATGATTTAAACAATCATAGGCTTTAGGTAAGTCTAAAAACACACCCGAAGCTCGACATTTACTCTCGAAAAAATTAATGTCATTTGTAAAATTATAGATAGCTGTATTTATAGATTTACCCTGTCTATAGCCATGCTATGACTGAATAAATTGCAATTATTCATAAAACTTGTGAGCCTACGGACCATTGCTAGTTCAAAAATTTTTGGAAATGCAGGAAGCAAACTGATGGGTCTATAATTCTCCATTAATTCCGGATCACCTTTATTTTTAAAAATTGGTTTAATGATCGACAACTTTAATTGATGAGGCACTATCCCAAATTTGAATGTGTTATTTATTATGTAGGACAAAATTTCCTTCACTGCGCCAAGGCTTTTTTTCATTATATTTGCTGGAATATTATCTTCCCCGCTACTAAATTTGTTTTTTATTTTTGTGGCTAATTCCACAATATCCGATCCCATGACCGGTGTTAGGAACATAGACTTATTATTAATATCAATAATCGGTTTAAANATCTGATTGTCCAGTATGATATTGTTAGGTCTGTTTATTTGCCAGTAACTTGATGAAAAAAGTACTAGTTGAGTTTTATCATTATTCATGATGAGACCATTCTTTGAAAGCCAGTCCTTTGTTAATTGTAAAAGTACCTCACTTTGTGTTATGATTTCTGGCATGGTGTCTGCCCCTACCAGTAAATTTGTGTCGTCCACATAATTAATAATTTTCTGATTTGAATTTGTGGGTACTTTTGCTATAGCATTTAGATATATAATAAACAATAGCGGACCCATGATACTCCCCTGCGGGATTCCTATATTGATCTTCATTTTTTCGGAGCTAAACACGCCGCTGTTATGATTTATGCATACTTTTTGCTCTCGGTTTGATAAATAGGAGACTATCCATTTCAGAGCCGGACATCTAATGCCGTATCTTTCCAATTTTACTATGAGAAGGTCATGATTTAAACAATCATAGGCTTTAGCTAAGTCTAAAAACACAGCCAAAGCTAGACATTTACTCTCGAAAAAATTAATGATGTCATTTGTAAAATTATAGACAGCTGTATTTATAGATTTACCCTGTCTATAGCCATGCTGACTATGACTGAATAAATTGCAATTATTCATAAAACTTGTGAGCCTACGAACCATTGCTAGTTCAAAAACTTTTGAAAATGCAGGAAGCGCAAACTGATGGGTCTATAATAATTCTCCATTAATTCCGGATCAGATCGACAACTTTAATTGATGAGGCACTATCCCAAATTTGAATGTGTTATTTATTATGTAGGACAAAATTTCCTTCACTGCGCCAAGGCTTTTTTTCATTATATCTGCTGGAATATTATCTTCCCCGCTACTAAATTTGTTTTTTATTTTTGTGGCTAATTCCACAATCTTCGATCCCATGACCGGTGTTAGGAACATAGACTTATTATTAATATCAATAATCGGTTTAAAATCTTTACTTTGATGGTTTGACAATAAATTAGGGATTAAGTCCAATAAAAAATGATAATAATAATAATCAATAATAATAATAATAATAATATTTATTTCAGAGAAGGTAAAGCTACACTGTAACAGACCATTGTATCTACACCAAAAATGAAATATTGTCAGTATTGTAAACTAAAGAATACCTAAAAACAAATAATCATTTAAACTATATGGTTCTAATTCTACTAACATTTTTTTAATCACCTTAAATTTATGAAGTCCTTTAATATTTTTTATACTTTCCAGAAGTTTATTATAAAGTTTAATACATATATATTGTGGACTCTTCTCAGTTATAGCTAACCTGTGTATTGTATAAGTAATATGTATACTACGAGTGTTGTACCCATGACCGACATTATGAATCATAAATATCTCTCTGTTTTTTACTACATATACAAGACATTCATAAACGAAAACTGCAAAAACTGTCAATAACCTTTTTTGTTTAAATAAACCTCTACATGTTTGACTATAATCTAATTTGTACATTATTCGTAAAACTCTTTTTTGTAACACAAATATTTTTTGGATGTTGCTACTCCCCCAAAAATAAATTATTCCTGAGCTCATACTTGCTTCAAAATTGGAAAAATATATCATAGGCAATGAGCTTTCATTCAAATACTTGGCAATGATTCTGAAACTATAACATATTTTGTTCAATTTGCTACATAAATTATCGATATGTGGTGACCAGTCCAAATATTCACTAATATATACACCTAAGAATTTTGTATGGGTATTGTATTTCAAGTGACCATCTTACATTTGTAATTTATCTGGAGTTTCTATATTACTTTGTGGAGTTCTAAATAAAATAATATTTGTTTTCTCCACATTTAATAAAAGACCATTTTTTGAGAACCATTACTTGGCATTAAGCAATAAGGTATTACTTAAATCAGTTACTTCCGAATAATTTCTACCAGTAATAAGTAAATTTGTATCATCTGCATAATTTGTAACATAACAATTTTTTACAATTATACTAATTAAGTCATTAAGATAAACTATGAACAAAATTGGCCCAGTAATACTGCCCTGAGGAATCCCGATGTTTTTATTTTTAATACTTGATTTTACTATTCTCCCATTATCAGATATTTGGACTCTGTTTTCGATTTGATAAATATGAGATAAACCAATTCAATGCATTCCCGCGTATGCCATACTCTTCCAACTTTTCCACTAGATAAGAATAATTTAGGCAATCATATGCTTTTGAAAGATCAAGGAAGATTCCCAACGACAATTCATTATTTTCAAAGGTTTCAATTGACCTCCCTTTTATGTTGACATGTTGGTTATTATTTATTAAATTACAACCTTTCATAAAGTGTATTAGTCTATCACACATTGCCATTTCGAATATTTTAGAAAATGATGGTAAAATACTAATGGGCTTATAGTTTTCAAAAATTTAGGATCCCCCTTTTTATATAATGGTTTGATTAGCGAAAGTTTTAATTGTTCTGGAAATATACCAAATTTAACAGAATTATTCATGATATAACAAAGCAGTTCAACATACATTTAATAGATAATTTGACAATACTCGTTGGGATGTTATCATCACCACTTGTATGCTTATTTTTTAATCTACTGGCCAACTTCATAATCTCTTCAAATGATACAGGTTTAATAAACATTGATTTGCAATTTTCTTGTATGCTGCAAGTAAACGGTACACTTTCAATATTGTTTACAAGTTGAGGTATTACATTGATAAGAAATTCGTTACAATCATTAGCTAGCTGCTTGCGATGTATCTACATCAAAATAAGAATTACAATCACTTTTACATTTACCAATTATTTCATTATGTATACTCCACATGGTTTTCGTTTTGTTATCTGAATTTCTTATCTTACATTCAGTTTTTTTTTTGCCTGAACTAACAAATTTTCATATTCTTTTTTTGTTTCATTATACATGGTCTTATAATTTATATCATGATTTGACACTGTTAGTAATTTATCCAGCTTGCCCTTACATTGCTTTATTTGATCATTTGTCAAATAATCAATGTAGTGGATTGATCTCGGAAACGGTAAGAGATACGAACTAGCTTAAAGGGGATCAACATTATGCCTCTAAAAAATCAATCATGATTTAGTTTCGGAATATTTGAAAAAAAAAACGAAATTTTGGAAATCCGATTTTGTTTCATTTCAGCCGTCTATCGAATGGCATAATCAATTTTTATATGTGACGTTTCATCTTTCCAGGACCATCATCAACTTCATTTTTTAAATATGGCTCTGGAAATTTTATTAAATTATTTACAAGGCTTCATGACCCCCAATACAGTACTGCCGCAGCCCAAATCAGATTCAGACGTTTTGTCTCGAAAAATTCATCTTCAGTATATTCGTTCTTTCATCTAAATTTTTTATTTAGATGGGGCTAATAGTTTAAGTTACTAGGTGGATCTCACAGGGTCTAACGACGCTTCCAGTGTGTGACAATTCAAGAAAGATAAAACGTTACATATTAAAATTGACCATGCCATTCGATAGAGGGCAAAAAGGGTCCTTCTTTTTCCATATCACCTCGAACGAGACTGAAATGAAACAATATCAGATTTCCAAAATTTTTTTCAAATTTTTCGAAAATTAATCGTGTTAGCCTTGATTTTTTAGAGGCATAATGTTGGTCCCCTGATTAAGCAACTTTCCCCCATTTAAGCTAGTTTGTATCTCTTATCGTCTCCGAGATCCCTAGCGAGAAGCAAATTTGTAACGCCCTGTATATTCTACAAAGTAAAGTGTATTATTATTTGAAACACATACTGATATACACGATTAGGATTCACCCTAAATATTGGTAACAAAATAGGATATATTTTTAGACATGGACAAAACAGGTGTATATTACGATGTATGTATACGGGGTGTCTCAAGGTGACGACCCATTAGAATTATTTCAGAGACTACTTCGATTGTGAGTTTTGAAAATTTGGGATCCCGGGTTTTCGGGCATGCCCTTCTGACCTAAAATAATGGCGACCACGTACCACTTCCGGTTATACCGGAAGTATCAACTTGCTTATTTTAAATGGAACACCCTATATATTTTTGCAATTTTGGATTCTACGTGTTATTTTCCCTATTCCTAAAATTAACCGTTTTCAAGATATTTATTTTTCAAAAAAAAAAAATGGAAACAGTCACTAGCTTCAAACCATGTGCATTTTATGGTAAGAAAGATAAAGCAACAATATTTATATACAATTTAATCAGGGTTCATAGTTCAAAAGTAATGAAGAATTCCCCGACTTTTCCAGGTTTTCCCTGACTTATAAAAATAAAATCCAGGTCACTTGTAGTTAATTTTTACATACTAATTGGTGTTTATGCATTAAATTTTTTCTCGACTGGACTCCATAATCTTTTTTATACCCTAAGAACCTCATAAAGGTTTCAAAACCACAAATAGTTTTCTCTTTCAAGAACCCAGGGCCGTCTTTCACAAAATTTCCAGTTGCAAACATCAAATTCCCTGACTTTCATGAATATTTTTATTATTCCCTGACTATTCCCTGTTTTTTATGAAGAATAACGAATTCCCTGACTTTTCCCGGTATTCCCGGTTTTCCTGGCCGCTACGAACCCTGTTAATGCCCAATTTAGTTCAATTCAAAAATTATGTTGGTTTTTTAAATGGGGGTTCTATTTAAAAAACCTGAAGTTTTCCTAAAAATTCCACAGCTATCCTCGCGAGAAATTACATGATTTTAGGTGATTACACAAAAAATAGTAGATAACTTAAAAACTAGAAGAGATAGGTATAAGGAACCCCGATACCGTTCCAAAGAGAATAAAGTTGTGTATCAGAATATAGAAAAACATACAGGGTGTTCCATTTAAAATAAGCAAGTTGATGGCGACTTCTGGTATAACCGGAAGTGGTACGTGGACGCCATTATTTTAGTTCCCAAATTTTCAAAACTCAAATCGAAGTAGTCTCTGAAATAATTCTAACGGGCCATCACCGTGAGACACCCTGTATTAATACACCTGGTTACAGAAGCGCATACAAACTTCTTTACACTCGTGAAGGCTTTCTGTACTTCAACACGTGATATTTTATACCACTCCTGTATTTGGGTTCGTAATCGCAGTCATTGCACTAGTATCTTTAGAACTTGCGCAGCATATTTGTTCCAGTTGATGCCGCTGCAGATGCTGCTTGTATTTACTTTCTAAGGGGCAGTTGTTACACTTGTATGTCTGGACTTGAGAAGGATTTTTATGCTTCAGTTGGTGCTGTATGATACATCTCTTGTATCTAGTTTTGTAATCGCAATCGTGACACCCGTACATTTGAACCTGCGAAGGAACTTTATGTTTCAGTTGATGCTGTTTCAAATAACTCTTGAATTTAGTTTCAAAATCGCAATCGTGACACCTGTACATTTGAATCTGTGAAGGATCTTTATGTTTCAGTTGATGCTGTTTGAAATTACCGTTGTATTTAGATTCATAATCGCAATCGTGACACCTGTACATTTGGATCTGTGAAGGATCTTTATGTTTCAGTTGATGCGTTTTGAAATTAACGTTGTATTTAGTTTTGAAATCGCAGTCGTTACACCGGTATGTTTGAGCCTGTGAAGGGTCTTTATGGTTCAGTTGATGCCTTTTGAAATTACTGTTGTATTTAGTTTCATAATCGCAGTCGTTGCACTTGTACATTTGAACCTGCGAAGGATCTTTATGTTTCAGTTGATGGTGTTTGAAATTATCTTTGTACTTAGTTTCGTAATCGCAGCCGTTACACCTGTATGTTTGAACCTGTGAAGGGTCTTTATGTTTCTTGTACGTTTGAACCTGGGAAGAGTCTTTATGTTTCTTTTGGTGTCGTTTGATATTATACTTATATTTATTTTCATAATCACAGTCATTACACCTGTACGTTTGAACCTGCGAAGGATCTTTATGTTCCAGTTGGTGCTTTTTGATAACACTCTTGTATTCATTTTCATAATCGCAATCGTTACTCCTGTACATATGAACCTGTGAAGGATCTTTATGCTTCAACAGGTGCTTCTGAAGTAATTTCTTATTTTCAGTTTCGTACTCACACGATTCACATTCATAAGCTTCCAAATCGTTCTCATAGCTCGCACAGTGTGCCGTAAAATGGATCTCATTTTCAGTTTCGAAGATACATTTATCACATTTGCACAATACTTTGCGCTTCTGCCTCGTTTTCACTTCTGATCCATTCTCATGTTTACATCTATCCTCTTCTTCATTTTTACAGTCGCTCTCCTCGAATGGTACAATATCGGAGATCAGGAGTGGTGTGTCGCTGAAAAAGTAACATATACAGGGTAGTTTTGAAAAATCAAAAATTAATATTAAGGGGTTATGACAATAACTGAATCAACCATAATACTGATAGCACAATTTTAACTTTAATGACGAATCGATTCAGATCTTTGATAATGTATTTAATTATCGGAGAAGGCATTGGCGAGATGCTACGTATAAAGTCACACAATAATTCCATAAACAAAGTCAGATACAGATAATTGAAATCCGATCTACAATAGCATTATTTATAAATTTATTAAATTTTAATCAAATAATAACACCCAGTATATCACCTTCTTTTTGTTTGTCAACGTTTTTTAGTATTAGGTTTTTACGTTATCAGAAATTTCAATATACCAGTCACAGAAATTAAAGGACAAAAAGAAAATCCTAATTTTTTAGGTGATTTCCGAAAAGCTGCAACATGGCGAAAAATGTTCATAAAGCAATAAAAAAAAAGGAAATTGGAGCTAGAAGGTTCTAGTTTCAGGATGTGAAAGTCAAAAATATTTATCCTTTATCACCTTTTAGAAATCAAAAGAAATCCCGGGGGATTTTTTTTAATAATTTTTGCATCACTTTCAACAGGTCCACTGGTCTCAATATTTTTTTTTTGGCAGTCCCACGTCTCTTTTAGTTTAATTCATCTTCTTTGATTTGAGCAGTTCAAAACCTTTATATGTATAATTAAATTAAAAATAACTGTTTTGGCTTTGATAATTAATTATTTGCGAAGTAATGGCCGTACAGAAAATCTAAGCAGAGTTATAAAAAGTTCAGACTATCCTCCATAAGACGTTCTTATCGTTTTTTGATAAAAAAATTTTCCATGCAAGAAACTCGATTCCAAAATTTGTTTATTTCAGGATTTTTGTTAAACCCGAGATTGATATTGAAGAGGTGTCCGTTTTTTTTCACCTCAAAATAATCCAAAAAAACCTCTATGCTCCGCGTACAACGTTCCTTGTCGTGGGGATACGGCCACATAACAGCTGAATCGTTCGTCGGTTGTCTCACCTTATGACACACTGATGAGGACTAGTAAGTCCGAAAGGTGTTCCGAGCATATTCAGTGCCGGTCAGGGCATATAGCCCGCGGAGTAGTTGTTTCTCGCAACACTGACAATAAGTAAAACCAGTCAAGAGTTCAAACAGCTGCAATTTTTCTTTTATTGTGAAAAATCAATTAAAGGATAAATAAAATAAATCATTTTTTTTAATTGAAAATGTTTTTTCGCAAAAATATAGTTTCTTCATCAAAAATTGTCATGAAAAAAAAATATTTTCGGAAATATATTATTTACAATATTCACAATGCTACACAGTTGTCAGTTGTAATTTTTTTTTGAGTGCAAACGTCAATTTAAAAGCCGCTGTATTTCCTTCCTCAAATCTCGGATACTTACCGAGTTCTATAGCTCACAAATTGTTTTCATGACCTTAAATACTGAGAAAAATAGTATTTTTTTAAACTAACCCAAAGATCTTTTCTGTATATCCAAAAAAAAATAAATATTTTTTGACGATTTGACAAGCACTTTTTCAAAAGATATTTTTATTATTTGAATTAGATCAATACCTTCTCCCAAAATTATTTCAAAATTAATTTTTGGTAAGAATGACTGAAGGCCTAACCGATTTTCTTCTTGCAATCTGCTTACATAACCTCCAATTATTTTGTAACTCCCTAAAAGATCTAACCTTTTCATTCAAGAAAATTTCAATTTCTGCCCAGTTAAAAAATTGATTGAATGAATGGAATTTAGTACAGCATTCTTTGTACCCATATCTGACTCGGAGCCATACTGATTGTTTTATAATGATCTTACATATTTTCCCAATAATTTGTTAACCTAACGCTTAATGTTTATATAAAAATTTGTACAATATCGTTCATAACCGACATAATCTCATAATGTTAAGTACAATTAGTTTATTACCGGATAGTATGTCCATGTGATCATATAAATCGCAGTGTCACAACCGCAGGTCGCCATTTTTTAAATTAATGTTACAATAGTCTTCCCTTACCTTCTTTCCTCATCTTCCGATTTTATGTCGATACTTTCAGTTTTGATTGACATTTCCATTTCTTTAATATCCAATTCTTTGTCCAGGTTTTCAGTCTTAACGAAGAAAGCCAGTGGAGACGTATCTGTTTGACTTTTTGTGGCCGAACTATCAAAAATACTTTTAATTTTTTCTTCCACCTCTGAGCAATCATTCAGGAAACTGTTGTGAGTACACAGAGAATCCCAGCATGGCTTACATACAACGGGACCTTTGATAATATTTATATTCTACAAAGCAGTTTTGTTAAATTGAAAAATATGCAAGTATCTAATATTGTTCCTACCATTTCGGGTATCAATTTCTGAATAGCTTCCAGTTCCTCTTCACATATGCACCTAAACTCACTCTCTACTGGGTGCATACACAATCGACATATTTTCTGACTGCAAACTAACTCACTTTTCTTTTCCTGTGTGTACACTTCTCTTAATTCGTGCTGTAACATTTTTTCGCTATCCGCATATCGAATAATTGTGTTATCGGTATTCAAACACGTCGACTTAAATTCTAACGCTGTATTTAACTTTCTTCTGCAAACGTTACATATTACCTCTTTGCTCTCATCATCAAATTTCTGAAAAATATGCAACTTTAGACAGCAATCTAATTATATTTCAGTGACTTACCAATTTCAGGAAAAGAAAATCTAGAATGTCTCTGATAATGTTGTTTATCACTTCAAAACTTTCATCGGTTATATTTTTAAGGCAAAGCCTACACGACGTTTCCTTAACATCAGTCATTGTTCTGCGACAATTTTCTTTTAAATATAAACAGAAAATAGAACGCATAGACAAAAATACAAAGCACAAAGCCACTCGTCACTTCTAACCTTCTTGCTTCTTATCATATGACATCATTGGCAGTTAGCAGTGTTGGCACTATTGGCATTGGCGGCGCATCTACTTGCGGGTTGTGATTAGGAATAGAGATGGGCGAAACAAGACGATCCGGCTCTCCATTCTGACACGAGACCGAAGTGACCAAGTTCGTTCGTTCCTTTCAGTTCTTTGTCAGAGTATTTCCACATGACGACACGCGCCATTATTCTATGGCTAGAAATTGGCCTCAATGATTTGGGATCGAGGGGGATTATCCCTCTTTATCCTGCCTCATCTCGTGTAGGCCTGGACAGCCTTCGTAGGTGGGCCCCATCCGTCGTCTACCCCGACCGCAAATGCGGCCGGTGTAGGCGCTTTGTGGGACCTCCTTTTGTCCTGGCTGGGCCCCGCCGGCTAGGGCCCTTTCTTCTGGCGCTCTTCTTGCTTCGCCGGCTCGTCNATTTAACTTTCTTCTGCAAACGTTACATATAACCTCTTTGCTCTCATCATCAAATTTCTGAAAAATATGCAACTTCAGACAGCAATCTAATTATATTTCAGTGACTTACCAATTTCAGGAAAAGAAAATCTAGAATGTCTCTGATAATGTTGTTTATCACTTCAAAAGTTCCATCGGTTATATTTTTAAGGCAAAGCCTACACGACGTTTCCTTAACATCAGTCATTGTTCTGCGACAATTTTCTTTTAAATATAAACAGAAAATAGAACGCATAGACAAAAATACAAAGCACAAAGCCACTCGTCACTTCTAACCTTCTTATCATATGACACCATTGCAGCCATAGAACTGCACCATTGGCAGTGTTGGCACTATTGGCATTGGAAAATCCTTGGGCATTGGCGGCGCATCTACTTGTGGGTTTTGGTTAGGAATAGAGATGGGCGAAACATGACGATCCGGCTCTCCATTCTGACACGAGAGACCAAAGTGACCCAGTTCCTTCCAGTTCTTTCTGTCATTCCATACGACGACACGCCCGCCATTATTCTATGGCTAGAAATTGGCCTCAATGATTTGGGATCGAGGGGGATTATCCCTCTTTATCCTGCCTCATCTCGTGTAGGCCTGGACAGCCTTCGTAGGTGGGCCCCATCCGTCGTCTACCCCGACCGCAAATGCGGCCGGTGTAGGCGCTTTGTGGGACCTCCTTTTGTCCTGGCTGGGCCCCGCCGGCTAGGGCCCTTTCTTCTGGCGCTCTTCTTGCTTCGCCGGCTCGTCTGTGTAAACCCCGGGGGTAGTGTCATGTTTATGTGTGGTATGGTTGGGTAGGGTAGTGCGGCTATGCAGCCTGGGATGCGCTTTGCTAAGG